GAAGCGGATGCTAAAGACAAGAAAAAGAAGGGCCAACTTTCTTCAAGTTCGAGAAAGAGGCAAAAGACTTTGACTCCACAGGGCCGTGGCTATCAGGGCCAAGGCCAAGGTTAATCCTCCTAAGGCGGGAGAAATCAAAGGCCTTCCTACCAAACAAGCCAAGTGAAATTAAATCAATCTTACAAAATAACACTTGGAAGATAGTAGAGTTGCCTCCTGGAAGCAAGGCGATATGATGTAAATGGGCGTTCAAGAAGAAATTAAAACTTGATGGGAGTATATATAAATACAAAGCTAGATTGGTAGTCAAAGGATTTACACAGAAGAAAGGAATACACTTTTTTGATACATATTCACCAGTGTCTAGTATCATTATCATTAGAATTTTAATTGCCTTAGCTTCTATCCATAATTTAGTGATACATCAAATGGATGTCAAAACTGCTTTTCTAAATGGAGATTTAGATGAAAAAATATATATGGAGCAACCCCGAGGGCTTTATAGTAAAGGGACACGAACATAAAGTGTGCAAGTTGGTAAAATCTTTATATGGTCTGAAACAAGCACCTAAATAATGGCATGAGAAGTTTGATAAGGTAATCCTAGAATATGATTTTCGAATAAATGAAAGTGAATAATGTTTATATTATAAGGAAAATATTGGAGGTTGTGTGATCTTATGTCTTTATGTGGATGATATTCTAAGTTTTGGGACTGATTTAGAAATAGTTGAAGAAGTTAAATCTTACTTATCTAATATGTTTGATATGAAAAACTTGGGAGAATGGAAATAGAGAAAATAGGAAGTGGAATATCTCTTAATCAATCTAACAACATAGAGAAAATGTTGAAGAAATTTAAATTTTATGATAGTGAACCAGTATCGACGCCATATGATCCACATATACATTTAAAGAAAAATAAAGAAGACCCTATATCACAATTGAAGTACTCACAAACGATAGGATCTTTATTATACTTAGCTAATAAGTCTAGACCAGATATCTCTTATGTTATGGGTAGACTAAGTCGATATAAACAAAATCCTAGTAAAGAGCATTGGACTGCCTTAGAGAGGATATTTAAATATCTTAGAAGAACTCTACATTACTCTTTACATTATAAAGGATTTCCAAGTGTCGTTAAGGGTTTAGTGATGCAAATTGGATCACCGATAATTTAGATATAAAATCTATTACTGGTTATATTTTCTTATTAGGTGAGGTANAAGGGTTTTAGTGATGCAAATTGGATTACCGATAATTTAGATATAAAATCTATTACTGGTTATATTTTCTTATTAGGTGAGGTAGCCATATCTTGGGGATCTAAAAAGCAAACTATAATTTCTAGAAGTACAATGGAGGCAGAGCTTATAGCCTTAGATACCACCTGTACCGAGGTTGAGTGGATTAAAAACTTATTACTAGATATACCTTTATTGAATAAGCCTATACCTGCTATATCTTTGCATTGTGATAATAAAGCTGTGATTGAGCTTGTGAAGCAAACTCATACTAATAAAAAGATGAACAGACATATGCAATTAAGATATAAATCTTTGAAGAAAATGATAAGTAGCACCAAAATTTCACTAGACTTTGTGAAGTCAGAATTAAATATTGCTGATTAGGTAACAAAAGGATTTTCAAGAAAAGTTGTNACAAAATTTCACTAGACTTTGTGAAGTCAGAATTAAATATTGCTGATTAGGTAACAAAAGGATTTTCAAGAAAAGTTGTCTTAGAACTGTCTAGGGGAATGAGTCTAAACCCATAAGGAAGTCACCTAGAAAAGTAACCCAACTTCTGTGATTGAGAATCCTATGAAGGAAGTTCAATGGATAGAAACAATTTGTACTGCGTGACTTATTTAGCACTTAAATTTGGAGATATCTTAGGAGGAGATATTCTCTAACTCATTCCTATGGTAGAAGTGCATTTGAAGTGTGACATAAAGGAAGAGTTGTTACCCAGAATGAGATCAAGGCAATAACACTCTTGTAGGGTAGGGGTCACATTTGCCTTTGTAGGTTTCAACTAAATGAGAATTGTCATGAGGCCACGACTATGAGAATTGAGTTGTTCTTTAAAAATTCTCATGAGAATAAAGATCGAGTGTATGGCCTTTTATAGCACTAACCCGCGAATCATGACTAATATCGATATTGTGTGTGTAACATGTTGGATTTTGATTCAAAGAGTCTAATTCAAGTATTTGGTTACTATGATCTTTCAGAGGAAAACAGTTAACACTAAGTCAGGTTCAAGTTCAAAAGACACCAACACCTATTACACAGTATTACAGTTGGCCAATTTTTATTTATATATAAATTGTATATATATTTGTTTATAAAAAAAACATGGGGGGGATTGTTGGAATAAATNATTTTTATTTATATATAAATTGTATATATATTTGTTTATAAAAAAAACATGGGGGGGATTGTTGGAATAAATTAAGTTTTTATTTTTTTTCCTAAAAAACACTTCCAGTTTTCTTCTGTTCCCTAAGATTTATTTAATACATTATGAATTATTATATATTATATATATGAGACGATTGGTGAAGGAATTGAAACTTGAATTTCAATTAAACTTTCTAAACCAGTGCAATTGAAGACCAAACCGTTGCATCGCAACGACACTTTTTCCACTGGATTTGTTCCTAGCGTTTGGGCAAATCTTTTGCCTATAAAAAGACAAAAAACATTGAGTATATAGATAGAAAAAATCCTTCCAGCAACTAGAAAAAAAAAACTCTATTTCATTTGGTCTACAAGGAAAAGTTGGCAGAAACTTTTAGTATCATTTTACATTGGTCGTTCACAAAGGACTTTGTTCTTCTCTACATTCTAAAGTATTTTGATTATACTAAATTTTGGGAAACTCGATTAGAGTTTGATTCATCCCCACTCTTCAGTATATGTGAACCCTAGGAAGTTTTTGATTTTGAATTAGAGTTGTATCTTAGAGTCGTTGCAGTCCGCTAATACCTTCACGTAGGGAGGCTCAGTTGCTTTAGGACAACGTTTCAACGTGCCTCATTGACTCTCAAAGACTAAATCTTTCTAATTTATTTTTCATTGTTTTATATTGTGTTCAATTGCATTTGTTTAATTATTAGTTTTAATTTAATACATGCGTCAATAGTTATATTATATGCATCCACAATATATGGATTGTTGCTGTCAAAACTAGTTTATCAAGTTGTTACTGTTTCATAAGTTTTATACATTATTTAGTTTAATTATTAAATTATATGTGTTAGGCTTATTCATTTAATATTGCTAAGTTGATGATCATTTTAGTTTTTTGTTCTGTCATAACATTTTTACCTTTAACATCATCTATTTCATTATTCCATTTCTGCAACACTTTTGTACAATGTTTGGTATAATACATGGTTTGACAATCCATGCCAAAAAAATTTTGAATAATGTAAAAAATTCACATAAAAAATAAAGAATTTAATGCTATAAATCGGTGACATTGTAAAAAAAATTTTAAAAAAAAAAAATCAGTGACACCGTATGTTTAAACATAATATAAGGAAAAAATTTTAAATTTTTTTTAAGAAAAAAAAACCCGATGACACCGTACGTTTAAATATAATACAAGGAAAAAATTCAAAATATTTTTTTAAAAAATAAAAAAATAAAAAAAACAAGTGACACCGTACGCTAAAACATAATATAAGTAAAAAATTTAAAATAATTTTTTTAATAATATTAAAAAAAAACCGATGACACCGTACACTTAAACATAATACAAGAAAAAAAATTTAAAATAATTTTTTTATTTGTAAACTCTACACAAGAGGGTATTTGTGTCATTTTTCTTGCTTGTTCCATCGATAGCTTTATACCAACAAATAATACCACTCAGTAGCTGGTATTTATTAAAGCCATGTACAAGGGTTAAATACAATTGTACAAATCGGGTCGGTATTACAACCTAAAAAAAATTATGTACATAATATGCAAAAAACAAGGTAATTGGTGGGTTTCAAGTATTATTTCTTGCTATCTCACCCTAGAATATCATTAAAACGCCCAAACAAACAAGCTTATGGTATATCTGTATAATAAGATAACTCACAAGTTGAATTTATCCCTTACACATTTTCTATCTCAAAAACATCACATTAGTCATTTTTATTTTATGTCCAATTATTTTAATATTTGATTAATTTGTAGTTTAATATAATTTTATTTCAAACATTATCCATACACAATAATATACATATATTGATAAAATTTTGTAGGATTATGTATTTTGAAAAAAATCTGCCTATATTGTTAATAAAATAATGGATAAACAGAAATTTTAAAAGATGTAATCAAAAATATGAAGTAAAAAAATTTATTTTTTAATATAATAAAATAGAGATTTTAGGCGTTTAAATTTTATATTTTATTGTACTTTCAAGTCGGAGTTATGCCTAATTGATATCTATTTCAGATGGGATAAACCGGTTATTTTACTACAGCTCGACTAATTCAAAGACAATGTTTATCCCATCTTATTTTTTGATCCAAATCAAAGATATGTGAGCCCGTCAGATTTTTTTAACCAATCTACCACTTTTATCCACCAAACCAAACATCCCCATAGGGTGTGTTTGCTTTAGGAATTAAAAAAAATGATTGAAAAAAATATGTATTGGGCCTATCTTATCCCTTTTATTCTTATATTCAGATTCACCCAAATATTATTACTTAAAAATAATCTAAGCGTGGATGAATTGTGTATTTATAGCCACATATACCTTCTCAAATAATTATCACTATAATTAATTTAAGACTCGAATTGATGGATATGGAATGAACGAATTTGTCAAATCCGATCATTGCTAACGCCTAGATCAAACACAGACTACTTTTAGTTGAACAAAGGACTCTGATTTTAATAGATAAAATTCGAAAGGTGCGAATCGTATCCTAAATAAATATCTTCCTCCTCAAAGACAAAAAGAGGCTGCTCTCGCAAAGGAAAATATCTTTTCCCTCAAACACAAACAAGAAAGGCCTCTCAAAGAGCAAAAAAAAATAAATTAAGAAAGGCCTCTCTCTCTCTCTCTCTCTCTCTCTCTCTCTCTTCCAAACTAAGATGCATTCTGCAAGGCTCCCTCTATACGCCCCCACACCTTCAATCAAAACCACAAATCCAAGCCCAAGGCTATCAAGTTTTCACACAACAAGTGCACGGAAGTCCCATGATAATTCTCTTGTATGCAAAGCTTCTAATTCTTCATCATCTTCTCCAATCACAGACTTTGATCTCTATGATCTTCTAGGCGTTGATAGCTCATCTGACCAATCACAAATAAAAGTGGCATACCGAGGATTGCAGAAGCGGTGCCACCCTGATATAGCTGGCCCGCCCGGCCACGACATGGCCATCATACTAAATGAAGCATACGCTCTTCTCTCTGATCCAACTCTACGTTTGGCATATGATAAGGTCAGTATAGGTCACGAGAATCTTAGTATATCTATCCTTACACACTCTTCTACCGCCACATATAATCGTAAGTTCCACAATATAACTGTTAGATCACGAAAAATGAACGACGTTGGTGAGTGTCAAAGATGAATAACTATAGATGTGTTTTACTAGATAGCTTATGAGCAAAATATCTGATTTTGTCAATTTTGATCTAAGTATTGACTTGAATCTTGCTATTATATGGATTTAGTAGCTTTTTAGTGTATGAAAAAAAATTGAGTGGTGGTTTTGATTGCGAAGGAATGGGGTTTTAGTATTGTATTTTTTCCTTAGGGTTATACTGGTCAAGTAAGTGTCACGATATCCTACACGACTTCAACTAGTATTCATAACTTGAGGTTCGATGTTTAAATATATTCTTAGAGCTACGTTATCAAAGGCATTTGGACATTTACTAAATACCCTTTGTACGTGTCACAAGTGGTTGGTACGAAATTTTGGAAAAATTTGAATCACACTCTTTTTAAATTAACTTATTTTTATAAATACCCCCTATGTTTTCTATATTTGTAACAACACCCCCTTTTGGTTCATATATATTTGTTTCAGATACACCCCCTAACCTTACTTTACCATTATGGACCACTCAAAAAATTATGATGTCATTCTAGGTTATTTTCAAAATACCCAAATTACCCGTGTCTCTTTCACCCGTCCTCCTTCTCCATGTTATATGAGATTAATTCATTCCATTTTCAATGACATAGACTTGTAAAGGTTAGTCAGTTTTGGACACGACTTGTTAATATGAATAATAAATTAATTAGGTTAACGTTAAACAAAAATAACACGAATTAATGATTAACATGTTTAAAAAGTATTAAAAAATAAATGTCAAATTTTTGTTTTTTTTTTTATCAAGTATTGACAGAATCCTTATTCAAAAAGAGATTTTTTTTTTTATAGTTTTATTATTATATTTAACATGTTAATTTTTAATTTATGAAAAAATATGAGCATGAGTTCGATTAAGAGATAATAAAATCTTAAACTTCATTTTTAGTATTTATTTTTTTATTCAATAGTTATATGAGTCAACAANAAAATATGAGCATGAGTTCGATTAAGAGATAATAAAATCTTAAACTTCATTTTTAGTATTTATTTTTTTATTCAATAGTTATATGAGTCAACAACACACATGATTCAAAAATAAACACGTCAAGTTGACGCGACACGATTAGTTAAATGAATTGGATTTGAATTGATTAATATTCGAGACGAACCTATAAATGAACCTATATATTTATATATAGTATATATTTGATTTGTGTTGTTAATATTTGTATATTTGATGGGCAAAAATGAAAAAAACACTATTGATGTTGTCATCGTTACCATACAAACACCGACAAGGGGTGTCACTAAAGATTTAAAAAATAGAAAGGGTGTCTTTAAAGATAAAATAATCTAGAAAGGGTATAGATAAAATTTTCCCTATTTTCTGTCTTCAGTTATGCTGGCTGTTTCTCCACGTGCTATTAGAGGTCGAATGTTCAAGGAATATTATAATTTACCCCACATCGATATTTTAATATCTCCTTAGTATATGGTCTAGTGAGCCTATGATGCATTATTGATTGGTTTTGAATTGAATTTCTTGACACTGAATTTGAAGCTTCGAGGTTAGAATTTCGTTTTTGCATGTATATGGTGGAAAACAAAAAGCTAATTTTTGTCAAGCTACGAACTAAATTCAAATGCTTAGGCTCCCTTCTCATGCTCTTTTTCCTAGGCTAAACATATGAATGTACATCAAAATAAATCTTCCTAGGTCTTGTCTAATTTTTTTGAATCTGATACATGTTGGCCGCATAATTTTAGCTTAGCAGTAATTCTATGTACTATTGAATTATATTTACTTACGGTCTTAAAATCTTGGAATTGGAGGTTGAACTATTCATGTCTAGTTTTCAGAAGGATATTTTTTTGGTGATCAAACCTGACCATTAAATTTTTCCACAAGTCCAAAAGATCTTAGACAATAATGTTTTCATTGTTTAATCCTTCATAAATGTGATGAATCTCGGAAAAGCTCAACATCTAAAGCCCATGACATGTAGTTATAATCTGAGATGTCTAAAGTCGGAAATTCCAATTTTCGTGATGTTGTCCATTTTTTCAAAACTATTTAAAACAAAATAATCAAGTTAGGTAAAAATGCTACGCTCAGCAAATTGCCGTTATTAGTAGCAGTTGATCACGCATACACTAAATATACAAGCGGTACCTCAATTCTCTTATGTATCTCTATAGTTCTTATGTATCTCAAATCTCAAAATTTTAGTTATTCTAAATTTGCTTGTGGGGCATAAATGGGCTGTAAATTGTGATTTACCTGATAACTTAAAAGTTCCAATAGTTCCTGACAAAAATTAGTGCTTGTATATGGCAATTCATAATCAACAAAACTAACAAGTAACTACACTATTGAGGAAACTTCTTATCTCACCAGCATTTAAGTAATTAACACCTAAATTATGACGAGGGCAACCATTCCTAGTTCTAATGGAAAGTCGAAGCTTAGGAGAAAAACANTCCTAAATCATGACGAGGGCTACCATTCCTAGTTCTAATGGAAAGTCGAAGCTTAGGAGAAAAACAAGAAAGAAGAAANACCTAAATTATGACGAGGGCAACCATTCCTAGTTCTAATGGAAAGTCGAAGCTTAGGAGAAAAACAAGAAAGAAGAAAAGAAAGCTGGTAATTAATAATTATGGTGGCCATGTAATAGCTTTTTGTAATTTTGACTCGGCGGATAGCCTAACAGAATCAGATTATTCAAACATCGGCAAAGCACTCCATTGATCAGCAGTTGGTATGGTCGAAATCAACACATAATGGAAAATCCAAGGGTTTAGATGTGTTTATCATATGCATTTTTNGCTTTTTGTAATTTTGACTCGGCGGATAGCCTAACAGAACCAGATTATTCAAACATCGGCAAAGCACTCCATTGATCAGCAGTTGGTATGGCCGAAAAATCAACACATAATGGAAAATCCAAGGGTTTAGATGTGTTTATCATATGCATTTTTCAGGCAAGAGGAACTCAAGACTAGCCTTAGTTCCCTAGATGAATAGTAATTCTTTTATGGTGGCTATTTTTCACACTGGGAGGCAATGATGCAGGAGCAAGCAAAGATTGAAGAGTTACGGGGTTATACAAGCAAACCTATGTATTCAGTATGGTGTGGATCAGAGAATGAACAAAGAGCCGTTTTTGTNTTCAGGCAAGAGGAACTCAAGACTAGCCTTAGTTCCCTAGATGAATAGTAATTCTTTTATGGTGGCTATTTTTCACACTGGGAGGCAATGATGCAGGAGCAAGCAAAGATTGAAGAGTTACGGGGTTATACAAGCAAACCTATGTATTCAGTATGGTGTGGATCAGAGAATGAACAAAGAGCCGTTTTTGTTGATGAAGTCAAGTGTGTTGGTTGCTTAAAATGTGCCTTATTTGCAGAAAAGACATTTGCTGTTGAATCCATTTATGGAAGAGCAAGGGTTGTTGCTCAATGGGCTGATACTGAAGACAAAATCGAAGAGGCCATAGAAGCATGTCCAGTTGATTGCATCTCGTAATAATCTTTACTCTCAGCTCCTCTATCGTATCAGTAGATGTCTCATTACTAAACACTTCTACTGCTTCTAGTATTGAGTTTTAGGAATTCTTTGTTTAGTCAGTCACAAAGTTTGCTGAACCATAGACTGCTGAGCAGAGTAGAAACCCCAAGTAACGGTGTATGTTGAGAAAAAGAGTAATGATGTATGAAATGTAGGATTCTTATTTTCGAAGTACTTTTTCATTTGGTTTTTCCCTTATCATTAGCATTATTACTCATTTGAGTATTTTTAGCTGACCTAAACATAGCATTGTGGAGAGGTCCAACTTGGCAGCCTTGGAATTCTTAATGTCCAAGCAGCCACGTGGCAATGTCAGAATTGGTGCGGGTAACACAGTGGGTACTCGTGTCTCAAACATCTTCGTCGACGTGGAGAAATTTCAGGCAAGGTTTAAGGAAGCAAATGATAAAGTTTCTAAAAACCATTCCAAGGTAAGAGCAACAAAATGGTCTTCAAATTCTAGGTGAAAAGTTTCGGACATATTTTGGGCTTGCCCAATTTAAAGTTTACTAATATTTAGTCAGTGTTTATGACCATTTCTTTCTTTGTCCTTTCTTTTTGATGAAATAAATTTTATTTGGTTGCCTAATCATTAAACTTCTAAAATTTTCTTTTTCCCAAGGATCTTCTAATATACTTGCATATGCAAATGTATTTGTTACATCCTTCTGTAAAATATTACAGATTTTTATTCGAGCTGTAGATCCAAGGTTTTTAGGTTGCCATGGGCGACTTCTACAAAGAAGACTAATTACTGATGTTTGTTTAACAAATTCACCTGACTAATGCTTCTAAGGGGGCCATTGCATGCTAATTGGTCAGAATTTTCCTGTGCAACAATTTTTCAAAAACGAATGTGTTTTCCTGCCCCATTTTATTCATTTGATGCTGAAATTGGTAGCATACATACCATTGTGAAAAACTTGGACTAACTGCAACTTGCTCATAATAGGAATCAGACATCCAAAGAGAAGCAAGAATTTCTGCTATTCAAGCGGTCAGATCAATCTCAAATTGGTTGTACTGGAAATCACCCAATGCAGGAGGATCTATGTCACATATTCACCAAAAATTGATACCAATAACCCGAAGGTCCACTGAACCAAATATCAACAAGCTTCGAGGTGCTGCTGCTGCTAGAAAACAAGCAAGAGAGACTGGAAAGCCTATTCGCAAAGTCTCATTGAATTATATTTACAAGGATGAGTATTGGACTCCATCAACTCTTGTCCTTCCAGAGGCAACCAAGAACAGTCCTACCTCTAGAGCAGCATCTGAGCAATCTCCTTCTACGGAATTGAAGAAACTACACAATAACAATTTTGTGGATCAAAAGAAGAGTCGGAGCAACCTCTTTGTACAAGGTGTTCCGCTGGGAGCAGCTATAGTGGCAGCAGTTATAGTTCGGTTACAGGTGGGAGAAGGGGTGGCTGGTGGATTAGAAGAGCATTTGGGAGGTTCTTTAGTATTGGACATTGTTAATAGCTCCTGGTTACAAGTTAGCCTAGCAGGTGTTACATGGTATCTCATTGGAATGGCTATAATAGAACTACTAGAGAGCCTTAAAATTAAGTTAGGAATGTATAAGAAATAGGGAGGTCACTTAACACATTGGTTAATATGTAGCTGATCTGAAAGTACAAATTGCAAACATGTAATTTTATCAATGTTATACTTGCTGTATAGAGGGCTGCCTTGAACATGAACCTTTTTTGCCATTTCCAATTTCGGAAGGGATTAAAGTTGGGTTCTACAAAGAATTGATCTAGGATCTTTCTCAAACTAATAGATATTTGTATTTCAATAAGAATTGTATATGTTGTTATCATCTTTGCATCTCTATTGGATGCCAGAATTTGTGACGGAATTCAAGTGCCCATGAAGNATAAGAATTGTATATGTTGTTATCATCTTTGCATCTCTATTGGATGCCAGAATTTATGACGGAATTCAAGTGCCCATGAAGTACAACAATTGTAAGGAGCATGGAGCATATGAATTGTGATGGTAAAAAAATTAGTTTTGGAAGAGAGATCTCAGAAAAAGAGCTTCGCAAAACGAGTAATGGAGCCAGAACTCATAAGAGCAGAGCTCTGGTTCACGAGTCAGGTCTGATCTAATAATCAGCTCTGCCTTACATGACGAAACCATGATATTGAGATAATAATTGAAGATTACGGATAAGCAAGGATCAGAAAGGATAGAGATAAGAGTCCCTGTTAGTTAGGGCAACAAAGATCATCTACCTGAAATGATAAGGGAGACGAGACTTCAAGCACAAGAGCAACCTAATCTTCTCAACTAATCCATAAGAGAGACTTGGGTCCATTCCCGAGGGAAAGTTAATCCAACATACCTATACATATAGTTCTGAGGAGATACACCAGGGACGTAACTTGTAGCCCACAAAAGGGTACTTCATATCTTAATTTCATGTTTGACTTAATTATTGGGAGAGTTGACATGTGGAGCTCCCTCTACGGTTTTTGACATCTTTCCAGGTAAGATCGAGGTCTGATAAGATGACATGGAGGTCGCCTCAAATTTTGAATTAATAGTTTGGTGTCGTATATGGAACGACATGATTCTTGTTCTCATTAACACCATTGGGAAAGGCATATAACTTCTACATCGGAAACTCTTGATGGTTGAAAGGCATATTCTCTGAGGATTGCACTCTTAAGAGCTATCAGAGGAATATAATTGATAATACCCAACTCAGACCGTTCTAACTTGGGCACTCAGCCCATCCTGGGTGACCAGGAAACTTGAGGCTAGACCCTCCATCCTTGCAACTGCATCTCCACAAAGATAGCACAGAAGGCAGCGGGCTTCCAACCAAGTGCCACCCAAATCGTAACGGGCATATAGTTAGGCAAAAAAGTTGCAATTGCCTCAACACCCTCCATGGTCGTTGCATGATAGTCCAATCGTAACAAGAAGGAGACAAGAATCAAGCCAGAGAACAGGCGAGGCCCTAGATTAACTATAAATAAGAGACATAACCCTCACAAGAAGATATAAGCATCTAGCTAACAAAAATACTCTGTGTAATCTCCTTTCATTATCAATAATATCTTCAGGAGCAAGAGAATCCCTTCAAAGTGGATTAGCTGAGCTCCTGAGTAAGTGAACCACTATAAATTCTCTGTATGTAAACTCTCATCCCTTTTTTATTCAAATTCTTAAGAGCCAAGGAGCTCCGACTGAACTATTCAGTAACCCATTAGGCCCTAGCTATCGCTAGCTTTGCTCATTTGTGTAATAGACATCATCAATTGATGCCGTCTGTGGGAACAATTATTCCTATAAAAGTTTTATTGATTATCTTCAGTAATTGATGGTTTTTATGTGCAACATGAGCAGAATTCAAATGAATCCATTGAGTTTACAAAATCAACCAGAGTTTCCAACTAGAAGACAACAGGAAAACTTGCCTAATCCCGAGGCTGACACTCCAATGGTGAATTCTCCTCTAAACAATGAACTCGAGACCCTTCGTCAAGCCAACCAGTACTTTCTCGAACAAAACAAAGAACTGCTAAACCTCATCCACGCCCAGCATCCCCAGAGGGTACAACTAACCCAAGATGGTCCCCATCATAAGAAACATCAACGTCTCAATCCCCAAAGGGAATATACGGAGGAGAATGAGCACAACAGATCATTCGACAACATACACCGACGAGCTCAAAAGAATGAAGAAGACGAGGAAGTACAAAGCCAGAAAAGGGGGCTCACAAGAACGAGCTTCCCCCACTCCAACTAGAAAGAAAGGAGCAGTATTAGGAGTTGCGTTTTAGGGAGATTCAACAAGAGCTCAGCCATATGAAGGAGGTTGTAAGAGGTAAAACGCCCAGTTACTATGGACACCCTGGTCTAGCAGACAGGGTCTCGCTTTACTGTGGAGGTGCTGCATTTTTCCCTTCCACCAAAGTTCAGAAGGCCTTATATAAAGACCTTTGATGGAACAAAGGATCTTATGAGCCATCTTAACACCTATAAAAATCAGATAGAGTTGCATGGGTACCAACACCCAGTGCATTGCCGATCTTTTGCTACTACCTTGAAGGGCTCAGCCTTAGTCTGGTTCAGCTGTCACGCCCCGAATTTCCACAAACCCGGGGAGTAGGTGAAAATGGAAAAGAAAAGTAAATGAAAGGTCATTAAGTTGGATAAATTGTTTTCTCATTCATTTCCCAAAGTTTTTCAAACCACTTTTCTTCCATTTTTAGCTTATTTCTTCAAGGTTTCTAAACCTCTCCTTTTGACATCCTTCCCACCTATTTAAAAGGTGTTTTACACACTTAACAAGTCTTTTAATTTTTCATAAAATTTTGACATAACCTCCTTTGTTTCCAAGCCTTTTTCCCACTTAATATTCACAATATTTCATATGCATAATTATATCACAATCCACCCTCACTCGGTGGCCACAACCCATGTAAATTTAACATACATATCTTATTCTCAACATATACATCTAATTGCCCCAATATAAACATATGATACTCATTAAATAAAGACATCCCAAATATCAATTGAGTTTACACTCTTACACATTAAAATGATCCAAGACCTTTAATCCACTACTTTTTCAAACTAGAATACAAGTCATTTGGGCTTATGCCCATACATACAAAATATGCCCAATGGCCAAATATACATTCAAGTCCCTTTCCTCTCCTTCCTCTAAGACTTCCTCAAGTCTCAAGTACCGGGAGCCTCATCTGTAATATGATATCCCACGAATGGGTCAGCTCAACTGCTGGTATGACAAAGTGCTAACGCTATGAACAAATTTAAGGCATGACATGTGCAGGTATACATTTTTTAAAAGCTATAACCCCATAATCTCTCAATGTTATGCAATATCAATATGCATGACACACCCATGCAACTCCATGCCACCCATGTCTTGCTTCACGGTCCGCCCCTGTCAGCCCGCGAGTACTGTCATTGGCCAGATTTTGAGTTTTTTACCATAGGATCTACACCCTCATAATGCATGACACCAAGTGCTCAACCCACACTATATTCCAAGGATTCATGTATTCCAAGATGCCATGATTTTTCTCAATGTAAATTCTATGAAATATTTCATCAAACACCTTATCTATATGAATGTGAAGCACCGTTCAATAGATTAAACATATGATCAAGCTTCATATTCCTATGAAACATTTCATCAAACACCTTATCTACATAAATGTGAAGCACCATTCAATGGATTTAAACATATGATCAAGCTTCATATTCATTACTTTCACAATTTCTCAAAAAAATTACAGATACACAAACTACCAACTCATGTAATAAATCATAACTCTCAAACCACAAGAGTTTCTCTACATAAACATAAGTTATAATATAATAATCCAACACATAAGCAACATACACCTTCACCATAGCAACAAATTATCAAGAAACTCAAAGAACACAAAAGTAATTAGACCACTAATTCTAAGTTTTCAAAGCAACTACCAACTCAATAATTTTCTAACATCAAGTAAATACCTAAATCATTCAATCAACACATAGGAAGGCAAGAAAACTTAAATTTATTTCCAACTTAGCAAAATATCATACCTAAAATAGTTTTTCTCAAACCAAGAGATTTGTGTTCTCTTTATAGCTGAACTGATCAGTGAGAATGTAGCCCTTGTTGAGAGGAACAACTTCTTAGAAGGAAGTTTTACAAAAATCTTGGCCTAGGAATGAGTTTTGGAGGCTTGAAGCTTCAAGAACCTAGAATTTTTCTTCCCTTTTCCTCCAAAAATGTGTACTGACCTTTCTCAGCCCAAAAACTGACATTTTTACACTAAGAGGGCTGTATTTATAGTGGAGGGGTAAATGTGTAAAATGACTCTTTTGCCCTTGATGAATTCAGGACACCGTTACACTACAACTCGTTTCGAAACGTCTCAATTCGACATTTTATTTTAACAAAAGTTCTTAAAATTATTTTAAATAAAAATTTAAAAAAAAATATATTTTCGCTAGTGGCCGGGTTTGACCGGTCCCACCTAGGCCGCCCGAGATACCTTTTTTGTCTAATTTTTGAAATTATTTTCGTTTAGGCTCAAATTCGTATAGTAGGTGTATTTTAACATTATAATCATATTTATCTTCTATGATATACTCAAATTATGCTCATAAACATGACTTATACCTAAATGATGTATATGTAGTGCCTTATCGACAAATGGTGCATGAATAGTGTCTTACCGACAAAACTGAAAAATTTATCCTTACTTTTTAAATCTCTACATTAGCAAGCTAACCCCAGCATCCATTTCCCCTTTGGGAAGCTCTCCATCTCATTTGTCTCACACTTCATAGGAGTTCGGACCTATCGAAATCCAAGCTACCATTTGCTAAATGTGAAACAAGGACCAAATGAGCCACTACAGAGTTACATTTAAAGTTTCAATTCATAATCTCTAAAAGTAGATGTCCCTGATGAGAAATTCGCCTTCACTGCCTTCATCACCGGGCTGGGAGTCTAGTCAAAGGACTTGATGTTTTCGATCTCCAAGAGCCCACAAGCCAGCATAGTAGAGGTCCTAGCCAAGACAGAGAAATACATTAATGGTGAAGAGACTCTCCTTTTAAAGGTTTGGAGCTCAACTACCCACAAAGAGAAAGAGAATAAAAAGGACCGAAGTCTAAGGAAGGAAAGGATCCGAGATTATTCTCCACAAAGAGACAGGGATCACTTCCTAAAGAGGAGACGAG